AGGTGTCCTCTACTGGATTCGCTGCGGTGCCATCCCCAGACTGGGTCCTGCTCGGCAAGGTTAGTGGTCCCCCTCGTGCTAATGGCTTACCTGTCCAGGCGAAGAGGACAGCTGTAAGAAAAAAAAAAGCTGTGGCGCAAACTCCCGGCAAGCTGCAAGGCTGAATGCCCGATAAGTACGCGATTGGCGCGATAAGCTTTAAGCCCGGGAGTTGGTGGTGGCTTCCCGGCGATGAGTGGGGCTCTTGGACTCGGTCAAGCCACAGTTAAGGGGCCGACGCCGAGCTTCCATCGCATAAGACTATGTCAACAATGATGCTCTCACGAACAAGACATTACCTAAAGGTTACGTGACTGATGACACCATTAAAAGCGGTGAGTAGCCGCGGGCATTGAAAAACTCATTATTGCGCCTGTTTGCATTGTACTCGAGACGGGTTTCTCTTGGGTTCTTGCTGGCGGACCAGGGCAGCTGCAGAAGGTGGTCCGTACAAAGCCACATGGAAGCTTCGCGATTCTTGCTAGGAAGAACCCCGGACGCTGGGGCATGGGTTGAACTGCTCTGCCCATTACAGTTCGGGACGGCGGAGGTTCAGGGCCGTAGGTAATCCAGCCAAGACATTCATTGTCAACCTGGTACTAACACAACCCCACTCACCATGCAAGTTTACGTGAAAACATGCAAATCATGGCTGACAGAATCAGTGACAAAATCAACATTTCCAGGGGAACTAATTTTGCGCATTTTCCAATACTTGCACTAACCGTTGCTTTTATTCTCTTGAGGACCAATGTCGAGATCTGGATTTGGCCAGCCACTATCTTTGACTTTCATTGTTGGAGATCGCGGGGTAGCAAAGCTGCAGTGGGGCAGCTAATGGCGGGGTCAAGATGCAGTCGCTGAGCTCACTGGAGAGCAAGTCCGTCACTTTACCAACTCCAGCTGTTCCAAAACGCTTGGCTTGGGAACATGCTGACAAAAGAAATCTTTGGATCATTTTTTCTAATCTGAACATACGTTGAGGTGCTTAAAGACCACCTACGCAGTAAACCTTCTGTCCTCTCCCTTGCCTCGGTTGTACCCCACTATCCAGCATGGGGCCGGTCGACAACGAAGTCAAGGGCCGGCTTGCTCTCGTCACCGGCGCTTCTGGTGGGTAAGAAACTCCATCAATCTTTGTTGACACAACCATGTTCTGAGTGTGCATAGAATTGGAGGTGCTTGCGCCAGAGAGCTCTTTGCCAACGGTGCGCACTTGGCCCTAACCTGTTCGTCTGAAAGAACCCGGAACAAGCTCTCGGACCTTCAAAACGACCTCCGCTCAGAACAGACTAAGGACAGGCGAATCTCGTGTCATGTGGTCGGCATGTCTTCATCCAAAGGCATCGAAGAGCTTTTTGCGCAAATCCTCGACGAGCACGGGCAACATCCCGATATTCTCGTCTCCAATGCCGGCACGGCTGGCTTCAACAACAAGGCAAACCCGCAGCTGGAGAACATCTCTCTCGAAGAGTTCGACTTCACCTACTCCATCAACCTCCGCGCCTCGTTTCTGCTCTGTAAACTCGCCATGCCCCATATGGCTGCGCAGCACTGGGGCCGCATCATCTTCGTGTCGTCCATCTCTGCCATTGGGGGCGGCATCAACGGCTGTCACTACGCTGCCAGCAAAGCCGGATTGACTGGGCTGATGAAGAACCTGGCTTCCAAGCATGCCAAGGACGGGGTCACGCTGAACGATGTAGCACCGGCCATGATTGGCGAGACGGGCATGATACCCGACGAGAAGCGCGTCGAGGGCACGCCGGGCGATGTGAAGAACATCCCCGTTGGCAGGTTGGGAACCCCGCAGGAGTGCGCTAATGTCGTGATCATGCTGTGCAAGACTGGCTACCTGACGGGCCAGAGTATCTTGCTGAGCGGCGGTCTGAAGTGAACTCGGCACAAGGACTCTGCCATGCCCGCAGAGAATTTACGACGGCTCATTCTTCTATATTAATATCTTTAGTAATTTCCTTTCAGAACCCACGAGTCTGTGTGGTGAATGATAATTAACCGCACAGTCTGTCTGTCTTGTTGTCAGATTCTAACATTTGAGTCGGACGTTGCCTTGAGATGTCGAGGACTTTTCAAACAAACTCGACAAGTGTTCGCTTCAGGACTTTCTTCTCAGAGCCGGTAGCTTGAAACGTCTCGCCGTACATCATTCCATGAATATAGCATGACCCAAGGATGTGGTACTTCCGTTGATCCCCGGCGATTGGCCTTATTATCAGAGGCGGTTGAACAGTGTGAATAACACAAATCAAGTCGCCGGGTTGAATCAGAGGTGTCCCGGTTCCGCTAAATCACAGGACTTCAATGTCAGTAATGCTCGAGGGTACTTGCGCACTCGCGTTTCAAACGTTCCAGCAAATAAGCAGATCACTTACCAAAATCCGCCCTTGGTTGTGAAGAATTTATCACCATTGCAGCATCTCACAGCCCGCTCCACAAACGAAACGGTCCGCGGATCTGCCGCTGAATTCCACGTCCTAAGCCAGCTTTCCCGACTGAGGTAGTCGTATATGAGTGGGCATTTCGCCCGGCAATGCTCCTCAAAGCTGCGAGCAATTGCTCCGCTTCTCGGAAGCTTGCTCTCAGTTTGTACGGCATGTAAGAGTGTGCAAGCAAAGGCAAGGGCTTTGTCGGGATACGCCAGTCCAACGTCCACCTCTGTCTTCTCCAAGATCCCCCAATACTCCTGTATGATGCTCGGCTCTTGGGAGAGAAGAGACCTTGCAAGGTCCACGCTGATCTTGACGTCCTCTGCCGAGTTGTCGTCTTCCTCGGTACGCTCTCTTCCAATCACCGTCCCGCATATCTCACCACAGAGATGAATGCTGTCAAGGATGTATGCGTAAACCTGAAGAGATGAGCCCTGTACACCAGATCCTCTTGATGTCTGTTCCGCGCCCCAAGAAGCGTCGTATCTGTTGTTTATTGTCCAGTGTCGTCGGCTGTTCAACCGAGGGCACCACGAGGGCCCCTCAATCAGGTCTCTAGAAAACCGATGCCAAATAAGGCCTAGAAACCGCAGGGAGCGGGAGCTCATCTGCGAGTACAGGCGAAACTTCAGCTCCGGCAACGTCCTGGTATAATCGGCCTCGATCAGAAGCTCCCCATCGCTCGACCTCGCACGAGGATGCCCAAGAAAGGCATACACGAGGTCCCTCTTATCCGTAGCCCGCTGCCCGCCCCTCGCACGAAAAAGCACATCCTCGAGCTCTAACACACCACCGTCCTTCTGCAGCCGTGCAATCCTCTTCAGAATGTGCGAGGACGAGTACCACGACCTCTCAACGTCCTCCGTGAACGTCGCCCAGACGAACCGGAACAGGCTGATGATGTGGCCCGCCTTGAAAACAAGACCGCGCGTGATCTGGTTATTCCGCACCCACGCCGCGACGAAGTCCAGAACTTCGGTGAAGTCCACCGTCGACCTGCCGTACGCGAGCAGCGCGCGCCGGGCGAGCCCGACCTCCTGGAGCACCCAGACGCGCTCGAACCAGGGGCGGTTCAGCATGTCCACGGCGCTCTGCAGCCGCGCCCGCGTGACGGGGCCGTAGCTGCCGTCCGGGGGCGCCCATCGCTTGATGGTGTGAGGCGAGATTTCAAAGTGCCTCATGTGCTTGGCGGCGACGAGGTTGAAGTCGCGGATGACGCTGAACGCTTCTTCTGCGGCGTGGCCGTTTTGGTCGTCGTCGCCGAAGCAGATTAGTACTTGTTCGGCCTGGGAGTAGATTTCGCCCATGATGTTGACTTGAGAGCTCTTCTCGAACTTGTCATGCTGGTTCATGCAGAGGGCGTCGACCCAGAGTTGACGTTGCTTGGTGGGGTGTCTGACTTGGCGAAGGGCTTGGAAGAGGTTCGTAGTGACGGCGACTGAGACTCCATGGCAGGTTATAGTCTGGACCTCATCGAGGTTTCCCCAGACGTAAGAAATTGCTTCATAAGGCTCTGTCGAAGCGACTGGTTAGCGAACTTGGTTTCATGCATGGCCATACTCCGCATCATTCTGGATGATCACCTGTGTCGTAGAATGCTACGGAGCGTAAAGAGCACTTTATGGGGTCCTCGAAAGTTCCCGGTTCAAGAATCAAGATTCGAGTCCATTTCCCAGGTGGCAGAGGCTCGTAACACAAGAGTGTGCCCATGGCCTCAGCCATCTTGTGCAGAGGAGACTTGGCAATCGCGAAGACGCCGGTTCGAGGAGGTGCTTAGCCTATTCTGGCCATGAGACGAGATCTCACTTGTAGTTGGTAGAACTGTATGCAACTAGGGCCCACGCTGCAGGGGCATTGCACCCTATCAAGACACATCTAACAGTTCTCTCACCCACAGCTGTAGTTGTCTCACAGATCCTCGATTGAATTGCGCCATACTGCGAGATCTCGGCAGGTAGATGTTGGATCCGAAAGAAAACAAAACGACTTCTTCTATGCTTTTGTTGAAAAGACGAAGTACTGTGATACTTGGACACCCAAACAGCCTAAAACTTGAATAAATAATGCGAATTGTCAAGTTTCGTGTACGTCCTGCTAGACAGCGAGAAGGGGGGGGGGGGGGGGGGGCGGGAGGGGACTGAGATACCAGAGAGGGGACAGTATGAGTTCTAATACCGACAGATGTTTTTGCTAAACTCATCTGACTAACATGCATCGCCTCGAAAATCGTAGCCGTAGCGGCACATGAAAAGTAAGCGGTCTCATGATCGTCAACATCGGCACGATCAAACTTGTCTGAGCGGCTTACTCAACGCGGGGTTGCAGAAGCCGCGGTCAAAGGCATGCACCAGTATTATTAATCTCACTGCTCTGATCCAACGTCGAATTGCCTCATTCAATGTCTGTATCCAAATAGGTGGCTAGTTGACAACAACCTGCAAAGGGGCATGAAACCGTAAAAGATAATTCATAACATTGTTTTAATTCAACAACACATCCAGTGCAGATACAACCATGCCTCTCTACGAAGTCGCCCACGCAACTCCTTTGAGTCAACCTCAGCAAGACGCCCTCGCCGAAGCAATCACCGAACTCCATAGCAAAAGATTCACCGTCCCGCGCATGTTCATCAATGTCATCTTCGTAGACACCTCAAACACGCCGACATACGTTGGCGGCAAACGGGCTTGTTAGCACCTTTGGTACCTCACCCCGAACAGCACTAACACAATAGCATAGCGCCATTCGAACCGCATCACAGGCCGCACTCGCAAGGGCTCGCGCACTCGAGATGATTTCAATGCCCTCTGCGGGGACATCCGCACTGCGTGGGCACGCATAGTTCATCCAGACGTCGCAGATGGAAAGTTGCCGCCACAAGAGCTTGAGCTGAGAGCCGTCTTCATCACGGGGGAGCTCATTGCGGGTATGAAGGCCAGTTTCATGACCCCGGCCGTTGGAGAGGAACTTGCGTGGGCCAAAGAGAACTACCACGCATTCGAAGAGAGGGCGCATGCGGGAGACGAGGATTTTGTGGAATTGGTTGCTGAGCTCCGGACGTGGCCTGGGTTTGATGTTGCGCGCTGACGAGGTTGTATCGAATGATAAATTGCTCAAAACAGGACGTTCTCTCGTTAAGTTCGTTCAATTATGATTATGGCTGATAGCCTCTGGTAACTGGTCTACTATATGAGGCATACGCCATACTTTCTTTCTTGAATCTTCTCTCATGCCAGCGTCAAGGGCGCGTCTTCGTTCATCAGTTTCATTCGGTTGGTGATCTGAAACTCTGTGGATTAGATCCATGGGTGAGTCCGCAGTGATTCAGCTTGAAGATGTCAGATGATTTCGAAAGGCAGTGTCCCAGATCTTGGATCGAGACGTACCCTAACAGACTAATGTCCGTGTATCGGGATCATCCGACACCAGTTGCTCCCTGGCTTCAGTCCTTAGAAGGACGTTTGCAACACCCGATTTGTGAGGCGTTTGTTTTCATGGCGGTCATATCGTTCTCCCTTGCCGCGGGTTATTCGCCTTTTCGGCAAGCTTAGTAACAATCACCAGTCGTTCCGATGAGGCCAATCTTCCTTAGAGTCTTCTGTCTCGTCGACGATTTTCCGCGGCCACTCAGGACATATGTCGATCTTATCTCGCGGGAACCAAAGCTCCAGAAGAAGAAAGAGGAGGTAGTCGATGATACAGACGAGGCAAAAGAGTTTGCCAGCCCAGATACCACAACCGTAGTACCGCTTCAACCGATCGATGAGCGCGAATGAACGCACTCGACTGGCGCCGTTGGCAGCGTCAACACCGTAGAACTCGGCCTCGCTCAACTCTCCAGAGATACCGTGGTAAACTCGCTCTGTTCGAAGGGCTACATTCGTCCAAGAATACATCTTTTGGACTTGCTCGTGGAAACGCTCCGTCCGCACCTTATTGGCCCTCAGAGCAGCAATAGCCTTTCCGGTCGCGAAAACGAGGTCTTCTTCCTCTGGTTTTGCGAACACGGTCATATGCGATGGTAGCACCTCGGGGATGCCTCCGACTTGGGTGCACACGACATACAAGCCGCAGCTGGCTGCTTCAACAATGACGGTTCCGAAGGCTTCAGTCAAGCTAGGGTGTAGGTAGATGTGGCCGCGAACCATGACGTCCCGCACCTCTTCGTGGCGAATAGGCCCTAGCATCTCTACCCTGTCTTGTAAGACATTCTGCTCAATCATCTGCTCAAGGTCAATGGCCTTGGGGCCAGAGCCGGCAATGATGAACCTCGTGTTGGGGTGGTTTTGAAGAATACTGGGGATGGCGGCAGTTAAAAGATCTGTTCCCTTATTGTAGAATAGACGAGATATGACTACAATAGTGATCATATCGTTCGGGCCCAGATGATGAGCTGGGGGTGGGCTTTGCCCGAAGGACTGTCCGGTCTCGGTGGATGGGTAGTCGAGGGGGCGAAAGTTCTCGGCGACGACGGCATTCGGGATGACTGAGACCATCAGAGGGTCAAGTGATGCTCGCAGAACAGTGTTTTCCTTGCTGCGTCACTGAATTAGCTTGGGTGTGGGATAAGTGCTACGCGGCGCAAACATACCAGGTGTGGCTGACGCAGACGACGTGGTCCACGTCGCTGAGGGAGAACTTGAGGATTTTGTTCGTCAGGATGCTGGTAGCATCCGCAAAGCCAAACAGCGAGTGATCTGTGAAGACGGTACGCAGACCCATGGTCCTACCATGGAGAATGGCCTCATGACACAAAGTACTCAAGCTCGCATGGCCGTGAACAATCTCGATCTGTTCTCGAATGAGGATGTTGCGCAGGATGGGGAAGGCCGAGAAGACGGTCGGGAAGGTCGCGGATCGGAAGACGACGAAGAAAGGGACATGATAGACCCTAATTCCGTTGGTCAAGTTGCGCACGCCGCTGCGGCCCTCGTATGAGTGGGTGATGATGATGACTTTGTGCCCGCGATCGATCAGCTTGGTCGACAGCTGGTAGATGTGACTTTCGACTCCTCCTGGCTGCGGAAAGAAGAAGTCGCTGACCATGGCAATATTGTATGTTCGAGCCATGTTGACCGGCTAGTGCTCGGCGCGAGCATCTGTCACCTCCAGAGATATTGACGGTGCATTGTACGCGACCAGATCGCGCATCCGTCGTCGCATTCGCGAGTGGTGCAGTAGGGAGACATCTCAATGACCTGCTAAGCCATTACCCCCCCTACTGACGTTAAGCTCTAGCGTGGGTAGGGGGCATCTGCTTCACTGCGATAAGAAGTTTCAGGCAGGTGGTGTGAGGCGGCAAAATCGCGATAAGCAACTGCTCCCAACTTTTTTTCGAGACTTTGCGCCAGGTGCCCCTCCGACTTACCTTTGTAGCCAAGCTGCGCAAACCTCCAAATTGGTCCGAAGAGGTTCGCGAAGGCGCAATTGACAAGATGTACGCCCGTTACGTGCCTCCAAAGAAAAATGCGGCTGCAGCACCTCCCGTGGCGGCGCCGCCTCCGCCGCGCGAACCAACACCTCCTGCTCCAGAACCAGCACCCGCGATGAACGACGCAGTCAGGACGGGAGAGAACACCGCCAGCCCGTATGCACGATATGTTCCCTCAAAGAAGCCGAAGTCGCGATCGTCGATTGTTAGTGTAGCTCCGGAGGACGCGGAAGCTTTGTCTCCTGCGATGAAGCGCAAGCACGAGGTCGAAGTCGAGGCCGAGGTCGAGCAGGAGACGCCGGCCAAAAAGAAGAAATCCAGAAAGTCGGAAGAAGTAGCGCCGTTGGACGACATGGATTTGGACACGCAGAAGAAGTCCAAGAAAGAAAAGAAAGAGAAGAAGGAGAAAAAAAACAAGAAAGACGATTCAGAGGAGCCACAAGTTGACGCCAGGGATACCCACGCAGACGACGAGGACGGCGAACGAGAGGAGGCGGGAGAGAAGAAGAAAAAGAAGAGGGATTCGGGCAATGCGGATGGACGCGATGACGAAAACGTCGAAGAAGTAAAGGAAAAGAAGGACAAGTCTAAAAAGAAGAAGAGGAAAGACGAAGAGATCGCCGAGGAAGACGACGCCGTTGCAGCGCGACACAAGAGCGTTCTGTCCAAGGCATCCAAGTACCTCAAAAAGGCCGCCGACGGTTCCCACGACGAAGACCCGGAGAAGATGGAAGTGGACGAGGAAGAAAAGGAAGAGACGGAAGAGGTGGAAGAACACGGCCTCGAACCCCTCCCGCAACCCGAGCCCTCCGCTCTCGATACCTCGAAACCCTCCTACGAGACGCTGCCACCCTGGCTCGCTGCACCCATCCGAGTGGCGCCTGACACACGGACGCTGTTCTCTGAGATTGGCATCAACCCGAAAGCAGCTCAGATCTTGGAATCGAAGGGATTCAAGGATGCCTTTGCCGTCCAGACCGCCGCGGTTCCTCTACTTCTACCGTCTTGCAAGCACCGCCAAGGCGATCTCCTCGTTGCGGCTGCAACTGGTTCCGGAAAGACGCTGGCATACGCTCTTCCCATTGTGCGGGACATCAGCCAAGGTGCTGTCACGAGGCTCCGCGCTCTTATTGTCTTGCCGACGCGTGAGCTTGTCAAGCAGGCGCAGGAGGTTTTTGAGCTGTGCGCCGGCGCATTCGATGGTCGTGACCAGAAGAGAGTGCGCATAGGAATCGCCATTGGTAGTCAGCAGCTCAAGTACGAGCAAACAAATCTCATCGAGAGGGAGGAAAAGTACGACCCTGAGGCCTACCAAGCTGCGAACCAGCGGGAGCTCGAGGCGTGGAAGGATGTTGAGGAGGTAGAGCCTGAGACCGAAGAATCCACGGGCAGAGTGGAAGCTGGCTCGTTGCCTGATCACATCGTAGACTACACCTCCAAGGTTGACGTTTTGATCTGCACTCCCGGTAGACTGGTCGAACACATAAATCTTACCCCAGGATTCTCCCTGGACTACGTGCGTTGGCTGGTAGTCGACGAAGCCGATAAGCTCCTGGCGCAGAGTTTCCAGGGCTGGCTGGACGTCGTCATGCCCAAGCTGCGGACGAAGAAGTTCAGCGCAAGAGACTTCCCCGACTCCAACCTCTCTGGTGTACGCAAGGTTGTTCTGAGTGCAACACTTACGCGAGACTTGAGCCTGCTAAGCGGGCTGCAGCTTCGCCGTCCTCAGCTCATTGTCCTGGAGGGCGAGAAGGCGGATGGCACTGCACCAATCGCCGAGCACACTCTGCCCACGCTACTGAAGGAGTCTGCCATCAGAGTCCACGATGCCAACCTCAAGCCTCTGCACCTTATCGATCTGCTACTGGGCGGGCATCTGATGTCCGAAGCCAGCTCCAAGGCGGAGGCCACCCCTACAGCAGAAGACAACGACGACACGTCTTCCTCGGACGGGTCCTCCGACACCTCATCAGACACTTCTTCAGAGGCAGATTCGGACACCAGCTCAGAGGCAGACTCCGACACTTCCTCAGACTCAGACAGTTCCTCAGACGCCAACCCCACACCCTCCAAGCCTCCGAGAAAAACACCCGCAGCCTTCACAACGACGGCCCTAATCTTCACAAAATCAAACGAGTCCGCTCTCCGTCTCTCCCGCCTAATCTCCCTCCTCCACCCTTCCCTCTCGCCCTTCATCGCAACCCTCACCTCGACCCAAAAGACGTCCGACCGTCGCCGCGCCCTCCGCGCCTTTGCCTCGCGCCGCTTGCGCCTGCTGGTCGCATCCGACCTGGTCGCCCGCGGTATCGATCTGCCACAGCTGGACAACGTCATCAACTACGACCTGCCCGCCAGCGCCGCCGGCTACGTCCACCGCGTCGGCCGTACAGCTCGTGCGGGACGCGCCGGCGCGGCATGGACTCTGGTCGAGGACGGCGAGAGCGGTTGGTTCTGGGGCAAGATTGCAAAGGCCAGCAGCGGGATCCGGCGCGCGGCAAAGGTCGATCGCTTGCGCATCGGCGACCAGGAGAGCGGTGGGTTCGCGGACGAGAGGGTACAGGAGTACGAGGATGCGCTGGAGAAGTTGGGCAAGGAGGCCGGCGAGGCTAGGAGGCACAGGTAGTGCATTTGTTGTAGAATTTGATAATAATACCAT